GGACTGTACTCCAATCATAAAGCCTTCTCATCCATATTATATATATGTCGCGGCTCTACTTTATATTGATCGATTTTTTGGCGTAGAAGCTCGAAGTAGAGCTGATATTTCTTTTCTGAATCAGCTCGGCGCCGGCTACGATCGATTGGCGTGGTGCGCTTGAGTATAACGAGATGCGAGTTACGATGAACAAAGCGATCAACCCAGTGATATCCGAGCTGCTTCTGAGCTAGCTGCGACGCGATATTTCGAATGATACTCCGTGTGGGTGCTAGGCCTCGCTTAGTGAGTCTATCGATATAGTCGATAAGCTCAGCTTCATGTTGTGGGTGGACTGCCTGCTGGTTTTGTGCAGCTGCTTGTCTGGAGCGAGAAATACCTCGGTGGCGGCGGCTCAGCGTTCCTGGGTCAACACCATATTTTTTTGCAATTTGAGAATACACAAGTTTTTCATTAGGCTTCAAAGCGTTAATAGCAGCAAGCGCAGCGTCAATTGATTGCATTGTGGTCACGTTATGGGTGGTTGAAGTGGATGGAATAATTGGTGTTGGAGGACGTAATCCGGCGTTGGCCCGTCCGCGGCGTTGGCCCGTCCGGCACCTCTACGTTTGGACACAGCCACGTCCGAGAAACCCGAACGCACGTGGAAGCGCGAAATCTATTCTCCTTGAGAAAGCAATATAGGGCTATTGCGTCAATGACTAGTGCGAGGCGTCGTCGTGTGGAGAACCGGCTTCGAGGGGAAAGGATGTGTGGCGCTGATCTTCGCAGGGCGTCATCAGCCCGGCAGGCAGGAACAGGGTACCCCAGACGTTGTTAGGATCCTGGAAAAGATAAGAGACGCGGCCATGTCAGGAATCACGAACTGGCGGAGGGTCCCAAGACGGGCGAAGGATCGACTCTGCTTCACGAAGACGAAGGCTAGCACATGTATGAGTTTGAATGTTTGATCATGTCTCGGCTGATAGGATGGAAGAGGACGAGAGGCCGGACAGGGCGGCGGAGGAAGAGTGGGTGGTAGAACTCGCTTATGTGGAAAGCTATGGGCCGACTACTTTTTGGGGGCGCCGCAGTTGTCAGATTTGAGAGCGGCAATGGATGCGCCCTGGTCAATTTAGGACGTCGACTCAAGATCGACAAGAACCAGTAGGATCGACGGGTCGAACTGGCTTGATCATTTATGTAGCTGGATAGTATGCGGGCACAAGCGTATATATGTGTGTACATTTGGAAGTATTGGCAAGGAGGCAGAGGCAGGCAAGAGCCTAAATTAGCCTAGGACACTGGGGTTGGAAGGGCAACAGCAATGGCAGCGGGATAGATGGCCAAGACACGGGATTCCAGACGGCTCAGGCACGTCTTGTCGGTGTGCACCTGGGATGCAGAGCGGGAGAGGGAGATTTTGTGTACATGTATGTATGTACATATATGCACAGGTGTGTAGGACAGCAACAGGGCGGGTGTGTGTGTGTGAGATGTGCGGCTGGTTGCAGGTGGCAGTGGGGCAGCATGTTTTCTTTGTCTGGGACGTTGGACAGGTTGCCAGGTGTAGTGCATGGCAGCGAACCATGGACGTGGCCAAAGTCGGCATGTCTGGCCCCCCCTATTGCTACTGTTGTCAGGCAGGCCGTGGCGACGGTACGGTTCAGTTGATGAGGTGAAACGGAAAGGCAGATTGCAAGCACACCACCACGACGGTATGATGGACGCAGAGGGAGACGCAGACGCACGTCGTATATCCTAATGACAGCCCTGGCGGTCGCGCGCGCCGACTCGACGGCCCCTGAACAGACAGCGTCGCACCGGGAATGGCAAGGCAGCGGCAGGCGCAAATGGGCCAAATCAGCCAATAGCAGGCCCAGAGTCGCGGTCGCGGCTGCTGGCTGCTCTCAAGGTGGGAAGGGACCCAGACTGTGCCTTCCCCTTCGGTGTGGGCCCCCCCTGGTCGTGCCTTCCGAGGGCAGGGTCTTGCAGCGCCGCACACTGCACACTGCACACTGCACAGGGGAGGCCCGGCACACCAACGCCGTGCCTGTGCACTGTTATGTATCGCCTGCTCGTCACGGCCGGGCGGTGCAACACACACACACATGCCCCTCTCAGAATCAAAAGTACAATCCACCACCTCCAAGCCCGCGGCTGGCGGCTGGCGGATGGCGGCAGTGCCTTGCATGGCCCAGCAGCTGGCGTCGACTGCCGCCGCGGCCACTCGACCATTGCGTGCAT